TCCAGGGGTGTGGAATGCATTATATCCATGAATTAAACAATTGTTGTCCCCATCCTCATAGACCTAACATCGTAGTGGGGAGAGACAGGCAGTGCACAATCAGCATATTATAAGTAAATTATATAGATTGTTAAGAGGAGCTAAGCATCTTGGAAGAGAAGAAAAACTAGAACAAGAGAGATGGAGGTTGCAGAGGGGCAGTTCATACCCATGCAGTTGGCTGTTTGGGATTGTCTCTTTAGAAGAGGGGACCTGAGCTGAACTGAAACACTGGAATGGGCCCCCACCTTGCAGATCTCTGGGGGCAAGAGTGGTGTGTGGAACAGGGACAGCAGTACAAGTCTCTGAGTTGAGAGAGCCTATAGTGAGGAGTGGCCAGGAGACCAGAGAGGCTGAGGGGAGAGTATTAGGAGATGGGGGTTGGAGAGATGACCTAGAGGCAGGCTGAGAACTTTCTGGAACACTCTCATACTTGGGTCAGGTTTAGCAAGAGGATGCGGACAGTCTTGCAGAAGCTAGTCTAAAGTAGAGAACTGTGCAGAGCCCTTGGGCAGGAGACCCTTGAGCGGCCCTGGAGACTGATCTCATGAGCCCACAGGGCAATTGTGCTTCCCTGACGGGCATTATTTGTGTTCCAGGACTGCGAGGTGGGGTGAAGGAGAGTGCACGGCTGGGCAGAAGCAAATCAATCTCTCAAGGCTGCCTTCCAAGTCAAGGGTGATTATGTGATTAAGTGACCCCAGTGGCTTCATAGATTCTCCAAATTGTCTGACCCCCTCTTCCTCTTAGATGAGGGTCATGTTGCATGAGGGCACAAACACTATGGGTTTCCACCCATCTGAAACCTCACATAACTGATAATAAATTAAAAAACCATAAAATCAACCTTTTTCTATTTCACCCTGTAGAAACAGAGGAGGGCTGTCTCTAGCCCCAGAGAATCTGCCATCACATGGTTAGATCTCGTGAGCTCTTCCCACAGGGTGCGCTGAAGAAGGTCCCGGCTCGCAGATGGAGGGTCCTATGTAGTGTGGAGTGGCTTCACATCCGCTGGAGGCTAAAGAATTTACAAGTGTATTCAGCATTCAAGGCATATTTGGGGGCTGAGAATATTTGTATTGTGTGTATTTTTCCATCTTCTAAAGCCAGGAATGCCACAAATGTTGGTGGTAACCAATAACCACAGCGTGACATATGATTTTTGTCTGGCAAAAAAATGCAAAATCCACTGGATCAGAGTTGCCTGGTACAAGCTGGAGGGCTTGGCATAAGGCAATGTCTCTGCTGGGACAGCCCAAGTCACAGTTCACTATTCCCCTGGTAACTGTCATTCTCTTCCTATATTCTCATCTGTATCTAATAGACAATTTTTCAATTAAATGGAGCACAAATCATAGCAGGATTAATGTGAATATGTGGCTGTGTTTAGGTGGACCCTTAACTTTGCAAATGGAAGACTTTTGCAAATGTTATTCTCATCTTTAAGGTGCATTCTCAGTTGCCAGACTCCAAGTCATAAATCCAGAAATTCTTATGCAGGCAGATGGCGGCATGGATAGCTTTGCCTTAAGTCTGCACTAGGAGGGAATATCTCCGGCTTTCCTCTTGTGATCGTCAGGAGCAAAGCTCTCTCTCACTCTAGGCTCCTGCTCAGCAAGTCCAGTGCCCAGCCTGGAAACCAAGGACTGGGCTGGCCAGTTCTGGGGTCAGGACTTACTGGTCAGGCTGTGGACTGTGGCCAGCTTAGGCGCAGCGGTGTTTAATGATCCACGGGGAAGCTTCTCCAAGATGCTTCCACAGGCATCAGAGTTTTTGTTGCTGTCGTTTTGAAAAGATTGGATTTTTGTATTAATTTTTATTAGTTTTTAGTTATACATAACAGTACATTCTATTTTGATATATTTAGGCAAGCACAGACTATATCTTATTCTAATTAGGGTCGCAGTCTTGTGGATGCACACGATGGTGAGATTCACTGTGATCTGTTCATATATGTTCATAGGAAAGTTAAGTCAGATTCATTCCACGGTCCTTCCTATTCCCATCACCTCTCCCTTCCCTCCATTCCCCTTAGTCTGATCCAGTGAAGGTCTACTCTTTCCCTCCAATCCCTATTAGTATCCACATATCAGAGAAAACATTTGACCTTCAGTTTTTTGCGATTGGCCTTCATTATAGTCTTCAGATCCATCCATTTACCAGCAAATGTGGCTGAGTAATATTCCATGGTGTATATATTTCACATTTTCTTTATCCATTCATCTATTGAAGGGATTTAGGTCTGTTCCATAGCTCAGCTGCTATAAACATTGATGTGGCTGCTTATAGTAGCTGATTTTAAATACTTTGAATATATATCAAGCAGTGGGATAACTGGTTCAAAGTTCCATTCCAGGTTTTTTGAGAAGTCTTCATACTGCTTTCCACAGTGGTTGCACCAGCAATGTGTGAGTGTGTACCCCTTTTCCCCACATACTCACCAACATTTATTGTTACTTGCATTCTTTTTTTTTGAAGTATATTAAAATTTTTATTAGGTTTTCACTCTTTATAGTTATTTATACTTGTGCAGTTCTTTGCAGTTTGCAAATATATTCACATACATCTAATCTTACTAGTTCTCTATTTCTAGTCTGTGAGGTGCTTCTCACCTTAATCCCTTAAAACATCTTTATGGGGCATAGTCATCTCCATATGACAGATGAAAAAATGACAGAAAAGAGAGGTGAAGTGACTTGCCCAAGTTCCCAGAGCTTTTAAGCCATGGCTCAAAATTCAAATCCAGAGACCCTGCTGTGAGATCAGTCTGTGTCATTTCCACTGTGATGCTGCCAAACTCTTCATAATGACTTTCAGTTTCAGCATTTGTTTTTCCTTATTTCAATCCACTCAAGAACCAAAACTTCTCAGATTTTTGTCCTTCTTTGGTAACTTTTCTGAATAGCCTGTCTCAATCTTTTGAGAATTATCCTAAGCAGAAACAAGGGCGCCAAAAATCTATTAAGTAGTTATAGTTTTAAGTAAGTATCTTAGGAATTGGGCAGCACAGATCACCCAGTTCAAGTTAATTGCAGAGGAAGCGGTGGCTCCGAGAGAAGGGCTGTGAGTCAATTTTGACAGATTCCAAGAAGCTCAGCACCGTATTTATTGTAAACCAGGTCTTTGTGTGTACCGACAGTCAGGCTGACCTTGGCTTCGTGATCTGGACTAAACTGGGCAGTGTTTTGAGGCTTTCTGATCCCATTTCTGGCCTCTTGTCCTTGACATGACCTCAGTAAATGACAAAGACTCACAACCCCATAGCAGGTTTGGGTTGGCCCGCCGCAGGTTGGGTAAACATGGATCCTTCTGGGCACCTTCTTCTCTAGCTCTCTGCCATCACTTCTTGTTCAGGTCTGCCAGGTCTACCCTTTTCTGGTTCCTTAGGTGACAGGGACACATTCTGCTGGTGTCTGGGTTTTGAGCATCTCCTTTTACCTTTCTTTTGCAGTTTTCCGTGGTTCCTATTCTACCTGTGCTCCTCATCCATTCCTGACCTGCCTGTTTTATTTCTGAGAAGTTTTTGTTTGGCTGAAGTTATGTACACCAGCCACAAATTAATGCTGGCTTTACCCTACTCCAAAGCTCCTTCTAAAGCTTCTTCCTCCACCACCCTAACATGGCAGTTGGGTCTAGCCTCTACGACAGCCCCATCTTTCTCTGGGCTCTGCCTGCCTTACATCCATTACTTGTGTTCTTGATAGTTGCCTTTCTGATTGGTGTGAGATGAAATCTCAGTGTAGCTTTAGCTTGCATTTCTCTAATTGCTAGAGATGGTGAACATTTTTCATATATTTGTTGATCATTTGCATTTCTTCTCCTGAGAAGCGCTATTCAGTTCTTTGCCCATTTATTGATGGGGTTATTGGGGGTTTCTTTGTTAAGCTTTTTGAGTTCTTTGTGCATCTTGGAAATTAACATTTTATTGGAGGTGTGGGTGGCAAAGATTTTCTCCCATTCTGTAGGCTGTCTCTTCACGTTCTTGATTGTTTCCTTTGCTGTGGAAAAGCATTTTAGTTTGATGCCGTCCCATTTATTGATTCTTGATTTCACTTCTTGTGCTTTGGGAGTCTTTAAGGAAGACTTCAAAGAAGTCAGTTCCCGAGCTGACATGTTGAAGTGTTGGGCCTACATTTTCTTCTAGTAGGTGCAGGATTTCTGGTCTAATAGTTTTATGATCATTTTAACCGGAACGTTTTTCAAACTCTTCAGAGGACATGGATCTGTCACAGTTTGAATGTGGTTTGTTCCCCAATGGTTCACATGTTGGAAGCTTGATCCTCGGTTGAAGTGGTAGATCCTTTAAGAGGTGGGGCCTCATGGGACTTCTTTAGGTCATAGGGAGCGTATGTACCCTTGACGGAATCAGGCAATTCTCATGGCTCCTGAGTGAGTTCTGAGAAAGTGTTATAGAAAGAGCAAGCCCAGCATCTCCCTTCAGTCTAGTCTCCTGTCTTGCCATGAGACCTCTCCCTCCTGTACTCACTCTTATTATTGTGATGTCACTCACCACTGTGATGTCATCTGTTATGAGGTGCTCACCAGAGCCAAGATGATGTGGTAGGCTCCATGCCCTTGAACCCTTAAAGATAAATAAGCCCAACCTCAGGTGTTTTGCTATAGTGATGGAAAACAGACTGATACAAAGCGCTTCATAGAAAACTGGGAATGTGCCCTTGTGCACAGGAACCTTGGAAAAGTGATATTGACTCTCCCAAGGCAAAGACTGTTTTCAGCAATAGCAGAGCCCGCTGATCAATTCAGGCTTTAGGAAAATAGAAATGCATTTTTAGAGTTGCTCAGCCTCAGTTTCTCCTTCTGTGAGGGAGAGATTTGTGCTGGTGGACAGGTCTGGGAGGATCTCAGAGCATTTGGAGGTCCAGCCTGGGGGTGGATTGCAATTGCACAGCAGGCTGCACACTGACCTTTCAATCCACCGTCTCTCCAACCTCATGCTCCAGCTGCCCACCCCTCAGCCCAGGCCCAGGACCGACCTACTGCCACCGTGTCACCCCTGCGCACTCAGAGCTCTCCATCCCGCCTGCCCGCCACCAGCCTCAGGCCCCGCACGGTGGTGTCCCCACAGCACAGCCAGCAGCCCCCGATGCAGATGTGCCCTCGGCCGGCCATCCCCCTCACGTCAGCAGCATCAGCCATCACACCTCCCAACGTTAGCGCCGCCAACCTCAACGGGGAGGCAGGAGGAGGGCCCATCTGTGGCCTGTCCACGTCCAGCCCTACCAACACAGGATGCAAGCCAGATGACAAGAAAAATGAAAAGGTAAGTGGTCCTTCCTGAGCCAGCCCTGGGCCTGGTCCAGCTGGTTATTGGAACCCTTTGCCCCGGATGCCAGCGGCACCTTGGACAATTGAGGCTTGAGTGTGTGCCCAGGTTCTTGCCCATCGATGCACCCCCGACATGTGACAGAGGGAGTCCAAACCAGGAGAGCAGCTGGCTGGAGTGGAATCTGGCATTCTGGCAGGGCCAACACAAACTATCTACAGTTTCACACAAATCAGAAAATGATGTCTCCCTCCTCGCTGTCATTTGTTCTTCTGTTGAAAATAAGTTTAATGTACCCATCTCGTTAGAACAAGATACTTATTTTCATGCGCTGGGATAATATAGTAATAAGTATATAAATCCGCATGTATGCAGTGTGAACAGCCCCCCCCCCTTTCATTCTTGTGTAGTCCACAACCTGTTCAACCATATGGGACAGGCCTAAAGGAGAAGGAGAAATAAGAAAGTCAAGATGATGGCAACCTGATATTTGACGTGGACAGAATTTTCAGCTATTTTTTTTTTAGCTACAAAGAAAGCTGAGTTGATTTCATAAAATCTGAATGCATTGGACCCTGTGGCCAGCCAGCTAGACCCTGGACTGGCCAGGATTAGAATCCACATTTCTAAATCCGTGCTGTTCAGCAGAAACATAATACGAGTTACAAATAAAATTAAAAATTGTCTAGTAGCCATGCTTTTGAAAAGTAAAATTAATCTAAAATAAAATTAAAAGGTGAAATCCATCTGGTAGCATATTCTATAAAACAGAGTTCTCAAAATATTTTTGTTCCAACATATAATCTACATTAAAAAAAAAACTATTGATGAGATATTTTACTCTTTTTTTTCCACATTAAGTTTTGAAAGCCTGTGTGAAACCCAGTGAGCTGTTCTGCAGTGCTCAGGGCCCACCTGCTGCTATGGCTGTACTGGACAGCAGGTCCAGCTCTCGGCAGGGAACCACTCTGTTTATTCTTGATGTGTGAACAACTGTCCCTTCTCTCTTGATTATCCCACATTCTCTTAAAGCCTTTCCATGTAAAATCAGTCTTTGAATGAGGGCGTGTTGGCGTGTTTGCATATGCACCCAGGATATCAGATGGTGTGTGAGAAGTGAGGACAGCACCCACCTCTCTCTCAGGGACATTAGAACTCAGCATGGACTCTCTGACCCATGTTCCTGGAGGCAGACCTCAGCAGGAACCTGGGTGAGCTGTGGAGATGGACCACCCCACACTCCAAAGGGCCTCAGCATCTCCCATCTCATCTGGCCCACAACTGTGGTCACTCCCACGCTGAGTGGTTTGGAAGAGGCCTCATTATGACCAACCGAGGCTACGCTCTCGGCTGGTAAAGCTCATACCTACTTGAGACTAACAGGCACCCAACAAGAAGTGACATGATTGCTCTGTGTTTTGTGCCCATATCTGTTTGAAAATCAGTTCCCTTCCTCCTTACAGCCCTTGTGCTGAGGTGCAGCTGGGTGTCACTGGGAGGTGAGGTGGCGGGTGCAGTCCTACCCTTTCACTGGACAGCTTCCCAAAGAGGCGATCTTCTGGCCTTCTGAGCTGCTGAGAAAAAAAACCAGGGAACAGGGACCGGTCTTAGAAAGTCAAGGGTGATAAGAGTTCTATAAACATTTCTGCTTCTTGGCCTCAGGAGTCCCTCTAGTTCAGGAAGCAGGTCGGCCTGGCTTCAACATGCCTGCTACCCAGTGGGTTTCTGTGGCACAGGGTCGGGCTTGCAGAAATCTACACAGAGGGTGACATGTTCCCCGCAGTTGCCCTCCCGAGTGCACAGCTAGTGAAAGCCAACCAGGACCACTGCCAACATGCCTGGGGGCGCTTGGCAGGCATTCTGCTTTCACTCTACCTTCTGCCAGCCGTCCTCCTACTTCAGCAGGGGGCAGCTGAGCCCAGGAGATACCCAAAGTGTCCCTCGAAATGAGGCTCCTGGGTAACCCCGCATGTGATGGAGCACCCTCTTCCTCTGGTAGTCCCTAAGCCATCTCTGGCAACAGAAATGCCCAGGCCACCACTCAGGTCGACATGGGGAGCGGGCCATGGCGTGCCCCAGGTAGGAGGTCGTCTGGGCTGTGTGAGGCTAGCTGAGCACCGGCTCAGAGGCTCAGCAGCCCCAGGAGAGAAGTGAAGGGTTCTCCCCCAAAGATGTGCACTTTTCCTTTCTCACCTCTCAGACAAGCAGAAATAACACTGGTCAACAAGATCACCTGCTAATGTTTGTCCCGTCTGTATTTCCTGGTGAATTTTTTCTATTTTACAGCAAGGCACAAAGCATCCACAGTTGCCATTGGTAGCAAAAAGCTGTGACCGTCGTGGTTTAAATTCTATTCATTAATCAGGAGCAAATGAACCAGTGGTGCAGGCACAGGCGAGGAGCCAGGTTCTGAGCCAGGCATGACTTGAAGCAGCCCCCTGTCCTGCCATGACTACATCTGGACAGACTTTGGGCACATACTGGTCAGTTTCACATCTTTCTTGGTGGTTCATTTTAGACATGCAGGTACCAAATTATGATGAAAGGACTTTCAAAATGTATTTGGAGGTGTTCTCTAGGCTCTCTCTCTCTCTCTCTCTCTCTCTCTCTCTCTCTCTCTCTTATTACTAGGCTATTTCTCTTGAAAAAATTTCTTTAGGAAAAGACAGTGAGCTCCCAGCTCTGCTGTTCACTGAGACCAGACCTCAGTGCCAGTGTGGAATTCCGTAACACCAAGCCCTGCTGGAATTCCATCCAGGTGCTTCCAAGCATGTGAATGAGAGAAACCTATGATTGATGGGGCCCTTGGATAAGAGAGGAAACTGGGTAGTCTTCTAGGAGCATGGCGGGCTTATTCTCTGGCATCCCTGGGTGTGCAGAGCAAGAGACCCCAGACCCAGCTGTATGTTGTGTGGTGTTCTTTGCTGTGGTAGAGTTTCTCGGAGGCTGGTCCTGGGAGGCTAACATTCTGCTGTTTCACACCTGGGGACTGGCCTTCCAGCCCTGCTTGAGCCTATGTGTTATGGAGTCCTTCAAGACAATGCAAGTGCTGTCAGGGTGGCAATTCTTTCTATAGTCTTAGTCCAGGTCTAGAGCTCTCCTTTGGGACCTGGACATCTACCATCATGTGCAGGAGCCTCTCCATGCTGTTGTACCAAATGCCTACCTACCTGCTCACATTGCTCCCTGATGGGCTACACTGTGACTGGGCCACCAGCATTTCCTTTCTAGAGAGCTTCTTGCTTCCCCAGAAGTACACAGGTCACCAGGGGCCCTACCATCCACTGAAGACCAAGCCTGCAACACCTCCTTGAGCAACTGTGCCATGGTGGAGAGTGGATTAAGAATGGGGTTAGGATGGAGACAGTTCTGATAACTGTCTGATGATATGTTTAGCGTTCTCGACAGCACTTGGGACCCTTCCAAAATCCAGGTTCATTTGGGTTGACCAGGAGTCTGTTATGCTTGGAGATGTGTCTGCTCAGGGTGGTCCTGGGTGACCTCAGAGGGACATTTCTGAAGCTGTCAATCTGGACTGGACCCCTGGAGTCACTGTTGAGTGTAGGGTTCCTCAGGGCTGTCTGGATTCCTTTGTAGTCCCCAGATTGGAGAGGTTGGAGGCACTCTAGGGCATGGGGAAGATCCCAGAGTGTGGAGACCTGGATGTGGGCGTCATGGTCTTCAGAAGTTGCAGCAGGTAGGCATCATTGGTGGTCTCCCCATCAAGGGTCTTGGTGCCTTTAAAGAAGGGTCTGGATAAAACTTTTGGAATAATTATATGGTATCCACAAAACATAGAGTGGAAACCTTTTTAAGAGGCTATATAGGATACAAGTTACTCTTTTACTCTTAAAAATTAAATTTTATGCTCAAAACAACCATCAAATACCACCTTTTGGGTCCATTAGTGATAGTTTTCTGGTTTTGAGTCCCCACCAACACATCAGCACCAGATGGACTGATCATCCCTCAGGGGATGTCCAGGGGAAAGTCACCCGAAGAGAAGGGTGCCTGCGCCCCCCTATGGGGCCACAGTCAGGGTCCCTGACCTCCAATTAGAGGCCCTTCACACTCATTGGTCCCTCACACACTCATCTGTTTACTGCAGGGAACATACACAAGCCAGGCAGAGCACAGGGCACTGGGGCTTACAGTGATAGAAGGCACAGCCCTGGCCCGGAGGAAGGCAGAGCGCAGTCCAGGTAACTGTTCAGGTAACTGGTAAACAGCCAACTGCAGGAAAGTGCTGCAGGCCTAAGAACAGGGGACAAAGGGTCAGCAAGAAGATGCATGGTCAACAGGGTACAGGCAAGTCTTCCCAGGGGACAAGTGGGAGACCCTCCTGCTAAGGGACAGCCTGACCAGAGGCCAGAGGATGTAGCCTAAGGTGAGGGGTCCATGGGCAGGTGGCAGGAGCAAAGCACCTCCTGAAGGTCCTGGTTACCTGCCACTGCTCAGCCCTGTGTTCTGTCTGGGGTTGGGCAGGAGGGTGGGATTCAGGCCCGATCAGAGGACATGGGTCAGGTGCCTGGCCTTCTCTGATCTGAGCCCCTGGCTGTTTTTAGTCTTCCTCTTACAGCAGCTGTGCCCCATTCTGAGACAGCTCTCCTGCTAAGCACCTAAAGTTTATTTAACTGTCTCCTTGGTGTCAGTGTTCCCACGAGGTGATCTCTACAGCAGCCCTCTTCAAACCATCTAGCCAGGCTCAGTGAGACACACCTGTAATCCCAGAGACTCAGGAGGCTGAGGCAAGAAGACTGAAAGTTCAAAGCCTGTCTCAGCAACTTAGGGGGGCCCTAAACAACTTAGTGAGACCCTGACTCAAAATAAAATAGACTAGGGAAGTGGCTTAGTAATTAGGTGCTCCTGGATTTAATCCATGGAACAAAAAAAGAAAAGAAAGAAAGAAGATAAAAGAAAGAAAGAAAAAGCCCCATCTAGTAGATTTAGCCCAATGCTTTCGATTTCTTTTGGATAGGACAGATAGAGTGCAATAGGCTAGAATGGATCGGCACACATACCACACACAGGAGGTGCCAGTGTACTGGGGAGAGATCATCACCAATGCTATCGTGTGTGCTGAACCCTGATATAAAACTGATTTCAAAAAAATCACAAAACCATTGGTCCATACCCTTTAAAGAGTGCCTTGTTCAGAGCCCAGCATCTGGTGATCTTTGTGGGCTAAGGAGAGCTGGAAAATCTGCTGGCCATAAGTTTGCTTCTATGATTTATGGGGATTTTTTTTTAGTTTATGGGCCAGAAGAAAGTTAACTTTCTGCTTATGGATAAAATAGTTCCAGTTTCACAGAATAATAGAATATTAGAACTGGAAAGAGCCTCTAAGGATCTTTTTATTTAACATCCAATTTTCCATGATGCTCTTGAGACTCAGAGTTGTTGAAAGATCTGCCAGGTGCCATAGAGCATTGGCAGCAGAGCGGGCACAAGAACTCTGGTCTCTTCACTCTTCTGTTCTGGCCATCTCGGCTTCAGTGTGCTGACTTGGTGGCCTCGCAGTCCATATGAGGCCATGGCCCCAGGTGGGTCTGGCTTGTCTGGGAGTCCCACAAGGAGCCATCCAGGGTAGTAGCTGGCAGGAAGCTATGAGGCTGGCTGGCCCTGGAGATGGGGAATGAACCAGAGGTGTCAGCCTTCAGTTCCACGTCAGACTCAACTTCAGTGAAGCCCTTGACCAAGTCCACGTGGATGACATGACCTGTATAACTAAGACCGTGGGAAACAAGTTTGATCTCAGCAGCGTGACCATAGCAACAGCAGTGGGGCCCTGCAAGTGGCATGGAAGGCGTGGGAAAAGAGTCTGCAGATGAACTTGTTGACATATGCATGTATGTATGAAATATGTCTCCTGTGTATCGGCGATACATGACATAGTTTTTTTCTAAAAGGCACATATCGTATAGGATTTTGATCATATTTTTAAGAAAAGCCCAGGCATGTCTAATCTGAAGAAGCCTTGAGGATGATGCTTTTTGGAACAACCAGCAGCTTTTATTGTAGTGAAAAATCACTAGCTTATAGATTTGTTTTTTTTTTTTTCAATTTGGGGCTTCCTGCAATAAGCAGGCCCTTACCTGTAGGATCCCACCTTCGCTCTTTCCACAGTGCAGCCTGGGAAGGGGGCTGCTGCCCCTGACTTCTCAGCAACTGCCAAGATGTTTCTAGGCTTCTTTGAAGCCACATCTGTGCTCCTGCCTTCTCTGGTGGGGTGAACGTAGCCCATCCAGGGCAGGGGGTGCCCTGCTGGGAATGTTGACTCAGTTCTGTGTCTGAGCTCCAGAAGTGAATTGTACCTCTGGCAGAATCCTCACTCTGATCTTGGGGGAGGACTTGTCCTTGGCTGGCTTGTGGGTCAGGCCCAAACATATGGAGACCCTGCGGTTGTCACATGTTGCCTTGGCCACAGCAGGATGATACCTGAGACGTCCCTGGGCTCCCGGGACCGTGGGACTGTTAGAAACCCTGCGGCTGCACACTGAGGCATCTGGCAGTTAGTCAGCTGTGGGCTGGGGAAGCCCACATCCATCTGGCACATGCCTGCTGGCAGCTCTATCGTCCCCAGAACCGATGTTGGCAACCTGGCTGGGCAGAAGGCCCTGGAGTCAGCTCCATGTGGGTAGGAGCCCTGGTGACTTCAGAGCTGCGCCTCCCTCGCCTGTAGAGATGAGGACCGTGGCATGTGCTGGTGAGTAATTTCCAGGCTAAAAATGAACCCATCTGAAAAGCATGAATTGCAGCTGTCCATACAGGCAAGCTTTCCTTGGATGGGGCATGTGCCAGAGTATCACTTCCCTGAGACAGGACAGCCACTTCTTCCTCACAGTGATGGATCTCTCATCCTGGAGTAGACCATGAGTAGGTCAGGGTGGTGTCCTGGCCTGGTCGACATGGAGGTGAGGGGTGGATAGAGACTTCCTGTGTGTGTCTCTCTCAGGCACGCGAGGCTGGGCCATCCCTTACGTTCTTCCATAGAGACCCCACAGTCTCTGCACTGGGCTGGGACTTGATCGGTGCTCCTCTGGACCTCAGGTTGATTGAGGATGTCTTTCAGAGACTAATTATGGACATGAAGGTCCAGCAAGATGAGGTGGCCTGTCCAAAGTCACACTGCTAGAAAATGACTAGGCATAAAAGTAGACCCCTTTGCCCACTCTCTGCCCTTAGCTTCTACCAGCTACCTTCACTTCCTGGGTACCCAAGGGTTCATGCCACTGAGCACTCAGGAAACGGACAGGTTTCGGAGGGCAACAGGAACCCACATTATTCAACAATGAGTAAAAAACTTTGGAGAAAGAAGGCAGAGAGATTAATTAGCATAGAGGGTGGACCTGGGGCGGTGTGCCTGGTATGAACTGGGACTCCTGGGACTCCTGTTCAAAGCCGTGTGACTTTGAACGAATCCCTTCTCCTCCCTGGGTCTCAGTTTCCTAACCTGTAAAATGGGGTGACAGCACCTACCATCCTGAGTTTTGGGGAAGAGTGAATTAACTAATTTCATGAGTGCATAGTAGAGTATTTAGGATGAAAATATGAGAAGTTAAGAATTTGAGAGTTGATTGAGGATCCCATAGGTATGAAATAGATACACAGTAGGACTTCTTCCCTGAGGCTTCCATTAAAGATCAAAAGGAGAGCTGATTTTGCAATTTAGAAGAAAATGTGCTTATCGTCACCAAATTGAGATGCTAGGCTACTCAAAAATGAATCCTAATGGTTTGAGGAAACCTATTTGTAACATGGTATTCATTTGTATCCTCTACAGTTACCATTTCCTGGTTCATTTTTCCTGTGTCCACCATAGAAACCTGGATAGAAAGATAGGGTAGGGGGCTAGGGATTAAACCCAGGACCTCACACATGCTAGGCAAAGCACTCCACCACTTGGAGCTACATCTGCACCCCTTTTGTTTTTATTTTGAAATGGGGTCTCACGAAGTTGCTCAGATTGGCTGTGAACTTGTGATCCTCCTGCCTTAGCCTCCCGAGTAGCTGGGATTACAAATGTGCGCCACCATGTCCTGCTAGAAAAGGATTTTTAAAGTTTCCGTTTATAACCTGACAATAGAGGAAACCAAAAGAAAACTATTTTATTCACAAGTACAGTTTCATCTGCAAGGTATTAAAGCAAAATTCATCTTTAAATAGTAATAAACTCTAGAAATCGAATCATGTGAGTCACATGTAATAGCCACAGGGTTCCTGTCACCCTCCTCACAGGCAACCACTAATAGTTCATCAGGGTTGTTGAGTGGTTTTGTGCTATAATGCCACACCGCTTAGCCCTCCTGAAAAGCATGGCAGGAGATGTGGGACACAGGCCCAGGAGAGGCCAGGAGCTGCTGGGCATGTTGATTCCCACATCAAGTATGTGGGAAGTTCCCCTTCAAAAGTCTACTGCCTTACCCTCTTCCTTTTCAGTGGATCTATTCTTGGTATTACTTGTAAAGACATGGATATATTTTTCCAGTCTTCCTCGCCCAGAAAAACTCAGCTGATGGCATCAGTTCAAAAGAAAGACATATACATGCCCCATAAAACACACCAGAAAGTAATGCTTAGACTCACAGGAAGACACACCAGAAGCAGACCGTGTCAGTGTGGTGGGACATTGCTGAACATTCAGAAGAATTGCTGGGTGCTTTTTATCTTAGTCATGTACCTACAGGCCATGCTGAGGAAGCACAAAAAGATAGCAGTGGGGTCATGTTTGTGTTGGTTGTGACTTTATTGTGTTTTGTTCACGCACCCAGGTGGTGGGGGGTGGGTGGCTCTGTCACTTCAGTGGGATGAGACGACTTTACCATCATTTCCCTGGAGGGTGAAGTCACTCTTGGCCAGACTTGACTTTTATTTGCTTGATATGTTATATGCTTGGTAATTTCTTCCAGGCCACATCTCAACAGACTACAAGATGTAATTGCATATGGTAGAAGAATGAAGCTCATTAATCTTTTCAGAGAATTCACACTAGAGCCATATTTCAGATAGGGCTATTGAGTCAACTTAATAAAAATGTTATTGCTTAAGGATCTCTTCATAAGACTAACAGGAATGGGTAATCTCTGACTGCAGAGCCTGCCTTCTCCTGCCCATTTGTTCTCTCATTTAAAATCACCTCACAAATACCTTAGGCTTGTTTAATATTAAAATGTGAATGATGTCTTTTGCTACCCATGGAAACATTTAAAAAGTAATTATTGGTTTGTAGCTCCAGAGAACCTATAGCAGAGATGGATGGATAGTTGGATGGATGGACAGATAGATATAGATAATTTATTTATCTGAAGGAATGGGTTCAAATGATCAAAGGCTAGCAGGTCCAAAATCTGTGGGGCAGGCCAACAGACTGGCAACTCAAGCAGGACTTCTTGCTATAGTCTTGAGACAGAATTTCTTCATCTCCAGGAAATCTAAGTTTCCCTAAGGCTTTCAACTGGTTAGGCAAAGCCCGCCACATTATCAAGGTACACATTTGAAGTCCTCTCCTTTACTTAATTTTATTTAGTTGTAAGTTTTAATAACACCTACAGAATACTTTTACAGCAAATCCAGTCTAGTACAGCAGTACTAGTAGTACCCTTGGTACTCAGGATCAGTCATCCCAGCCAGCACAGCAATTCTTTACTATGCCCGTGATATACAGGCACAGGATCCCAAAGTGGCCAAGTGGCAGAGGGAACTTCCAGTTCAGTGGAGTCATGCCTCCAGGTGGAAGCACCCCTGATTCTAGAACGAAGAGATCCAGCAGAGCGTAACATCGTGGGAACATGAAGGAAGTTTTGCTAGTGGATCACTGGGGATAATAGTGAGTGGTGCCACTCCCATTTCCACCCATGACTTCTGGGTCCATGATCCTGACTATGGGAGAAATAGCACTACATATGGGGTGTTGATTCTGAGCATATGCAGCCTCTTGGAGAAGCATCCCCCAGCCCTGCAAGGTATTGTCACCTAGCTGGCATTGTAACTGAGTCTCTGAAGAACCATGCCACTGTTCTATTAACAATTAGAACATGGGGAACATTGCAAGACCAGTGAATTCCATGATCACAGGCCCATTTCTGCACATCTTTGGCTGTGAGGTAAGTTCCTTGGTCAGAGCAATGCTGTGCAAAGTACTATGACAGTGGGGAAGGCCCTCTGCTAGTCCTTGGATGGCAGTTTTGGCAGAAGCCGTCCTTGCGAGGAAGGCAAATCTATTCCAGTGGCCAAACACCAGACTTTCCATGATGGATGTGACTGGCCCAGTATAATCAACCTGCCACCAGGCTGTTGGCTGATCACCCTGGAGAACAGTGCCTTATTGGGGGGGCGGGGCTCAGTACTGGTCCCTGCTGCTGGGAGATTGGCCACTCAGCATTGGCCATAGCATGGCCATCATGCATGGTGATGACAGATAATCTCCATTTCTGCCACCATGGCCATTCATGAGCTCAATGGGATGATTGGGGAAAGAGGCCAACTGGTATCCACAGAACAGGTCATTCTATCTGCTTGATTATTAAAATCCTTCTTTGGCTATAGTCACCTTTCAGTAAGCATCCACATGGGAGGCACATAGCATCGTGTTTCTTTTCCAGAGAGGGCTATCCACATATCTTTTTCCAAATTTCCTTGCCACCAACTTCCCAATTGTGTGATTTCCAAGTCCCTGATCATCCAGCCAAGCCATTGGCTACAGCTCATGAATCATTATATAATCACACAGCTGGCCATTTCTCCTTCCAAGAAAAGTGCACAGCCAGGTGCACTGCTGAAAGTTCTGCCCTCTGGGAGGACTCCCTCACCACTGTCCTTCAGAGATGTCCCAGAGAGTGGCTGCAGCATTGCAGCTGTCTACTCTTGAGTGGTTCTTGTGTATCTCTAAATCAACCTGAGCGTTCCCTCCCTTTGTCATCAGGTTGTAAGGGAGTATCCGCTGAGGCCACAGGTGCAGGCTGGGAGAAGGAAGGCAGTGTAGCAGGAGAGGGAACTGTGGCATTATTTTCTCATGTACTTATTTGTGCCCTCAGCGTCTGCCTGGATCTGATCTCATGTACACCATTTCCATTTGAGGATTGGTTTGCTGCAGTGCATATCCAACTTTGTGGCTTGGTGTAACCCCAGATCATGACGGGCAGCTGCCAGATTGTGGTCACTTAGGGGCCCACAGTTAAGCATTCAGTTTATCCTAATGCCCAGTAGCAAGCCAAAACTATTTCTCAAAAGGAAAATAGTTTTTGGAAGAGGTATGGCAGGGTTTTGCTCTACAATCCTAAGGGCCTACATGTAATTCAGATATAAGGGGTGCCAGAAGTCCAAACAGCATCCCTATCTGTAATGTACACTTTAAGCACCACTGGATCCCCTGGATCACATGGGCTGAGTGGCAGAGCATCCTGCACAGGAGCCTGAACCTGAGCAGAGCCTTCTCCTGTTCTGGGCCCCACTTAAAAAACTAGTGTTTGGGGGGACTCAATAGTAAAGGGGTTGGAATAACACACCCAAGTAAGGGATGTGTTGCCTCCAAATCCAAAGAAGCCTAATAGGTATAGCAGGGGCCGAGTGCAAAAACTTACCCTTCACCTTGGGAGGAGGGATAGCACCACTAGACCCTTGAAAACCGAGATGGAAAACTACTGAATTTGAGTCAGATTTTCCCACCGTCTGAAACACAAATGTCTTATGAATGAGTCTAAAGTAATTGCTGCTTCGTGCCCACTAGGTCCAATCAGTATGATGATATTATCAATGTGCTAGACTAGTGTGGTACTATGGGGAAGGGAAAGGATATCCAGAAACTGTGAACTAGATTATGACACAGGACTGAAAGTTTGCTCTACTGACCCTGATTCTAGGAGACCCCAAATTTTAAGATGATGAAGGTACCAGCTGACAATATAATTAATTCTGATGGTCTTTACTAACAAAAAAAGTGTTTTCCAGATTGATTGCTACACACCAGATACCAGAGGATGTGGCGTGTTAATATCCTTAAGCAAAGAAAGCACATCTGGTGCAGCAGCTGCAGTTATGCTCACCACTTGGCTAAGTGTACTGTAATCCTCTGTCATTTTCCAAATCCATTTGCTTTACACACAGGCCAAATTGGCAGATCAATGAGGATATATATATATGGTGAGATCCACCACCCTTGCATCCTTCAAGTCCTTGATGGTGACACTATTCCTCCAGGGATGATGAATTGCTTTGGGTGTGCAATTATCCTAGGTAGAGGTAGGTCTAGTGGCTGACACTTGGCCTCTTCCACTGTCATAGCCCTCATTCCATAGGTCAGAGAATCTGTATGGAGATTCTACCAGCTGCTGTCTGTGACAATTATACATGCCACAGCTGTGGAAAAAAAAAAATAGAAGCCATTAGCACACACACACTGGACCCATTGCAAGGAGGACCTGAGCTAAAAGTCCATTGATCTCCTGACCTCCATAAGCCCCTACCCTGACTGCAGGGCCACAGTGACGTTTCAGGTTACCTGGAAGCAGTGTCAGTTCAGAGCCAGTGTCCCGCAGTCCCCACAAAATTTGATCATGTCCTTTTACCAGTGCACATTTACCCAGTAAAGTAGATCCTTTGGGGGAATGCTGGAAGAAAGATTAACAATATAAAATTTTGGCATTGTTCCTGGGGTCCTTTCTCAAGGAAATCTTCCTCCCATTCATCTTGGGGATTCTGGGTGTATAAACTGGTTCAAGTCTGGGAATCGATTAAGAGGCTCTGACTCTCTGCTTTTTTGACTTATGCTCACTAGGCCTAGAACTCTTCTGCTTACACTAATCAGGTAAATTTAGTGGGCTGCTCTTCTGTTTCTCTTCTGTGGACAACATGATCAACTAGCCAAATGCTCAGGTTTCGGCACCAGTCAGCGCTTTCTGATTTGATTTCTGCACTGACTGCTATCTATTATAGTAACCATGCCCACTTTGTGTTTGGCAATTCAGAGCCACCCCTTGACCCCTATCACCCTGGGATCCAATTACTCCCAGGTTTCTCAACCCAAAGGCCACAGGTCCCACTGTAAAGGCTGGTCCACGGGGAAAAGCAATCACAGTGCTCTCCAATCATGCCAGGCTTTCTCCACACATTTATTTTTTACAGTCATCGTGAAAGGTGTGTCCTCTGGACCCTTCTGGGATGGGAGAAAGTATGAACATTTCAAATTTCTGATTACTGTGCAACTTGGAAACAGGAGGTACTTTGGAAGCAGTGGGGAAAGAACCCATCATTTTCCCAAGACTTACAGAAGTGGATGTTCACATTTGCTTCCCCTGAAATCGAGCTATTTAAACGACTCGACACCATAAAGAACCATAGCTTCTGATATTGATATTAGGAAAATACCAGGATCATTGGGAAAAATACCCCCAATAACACTGAGAGATGTGGAGGAACTGTCCATTTCTCAGCATGAATGGCTTATATCCTTTGTAGAACTCTCTGATTTCTTGAGATGGGCTTTTAGGCCTCTGAGAGCCAGAGGTGATGTAGACATGGTAGGGTATGCACATTCAGAGTGTTCTCTAAGAAAAAAAAAAGTCACCTGTACAAGCTATACCCAGCAAGAGGTCACTAGAAGACACAGGGACCCTCTGATCACAAGGGCTCCCATTCATGGAGCTCAGTACTGAAAAGAGAGATGTTAGCTGCATGAGCAGAACCACTGGAACCCACTAACCCAGCAGTCTTGTCTGCATGATTTCTAAAGGGGATCATTTCAGAGTCTGCTAACATACCTCCAGGGACAGTCAGCTCATTCCCTAAAGAGTTGCTTTTATGGCTGAACTATTGTCAAAAGGTTTATCTTGTGTTGACTCTAAATGTACAGAGTGAACACCTGTGCACTCATATACATACATTCACATGCATATAAGCATACAGTGTGTATAAATGCATACTCACATACATGCACAAATATACACAGCACACAAGCCTAGGCATATACACATACATGCAAATATCCATGTGTGTAAAGTAGGCCTACATATACATGTGCATACATCATGTTTTCAGTTGTTTATGCCTATACACTTATAAACAAATGAACTCATACACGGACTCACATACATACTACACATCATGCAGAATTTATCTACTTCTGTGAATTCTACCATATTATGATGCATTTCCCCTTTTAAAAATAATCCTTCTGATATTAGAAGTCATCCTCTCAAGACATTTTTTTAAAAGACTTTTTCTGCGGGTGAAGGTGTAGCTCAGTGGTAGAGTGCTCGTTTCACATGCGTGAGGCTCTGGGTTTGATCCCCAGCACTGAAAAAGAAAAAAAAAATACTTTTTTGAGTAATTAAAGGATTAGACTGAGGACTCAGATCCACTGATGATGGAGATGTAAAATGATGCAATCACTTAGGAAGGTAGGTTAGTAAATGTTTAAGAAGTTAAACATACTCACCTGTGACTCAGCCATCCACTGCTATTTACCCAGAAGAAATTGAAATGTATGCCTTTACAAAGACTGGCACGTAAATAATCAGAGGAGTTTTACTGGTGACAACTTCAAACTGGAAACAGCCTGTCAATTGACTAAAGAATTGAAACAATAGTGTGGCTCATCCATACAGTGGGACACAACTCAGCAATAACAAGAAATGAGGTGCTGATACACACAAAGATAGAGATGAAGCATGAAATCATTACGTAAACCAGACAAAAAAAAGAATGCATATTGGATGTGTCCATTGATATGAAATTTTGGAAAATATGAAGTAATGTATAATGACAGCTCAGTGATTTCTTGGGGATAGGGAGATTCGTGAGCAAAAAGTTGGTGGTAGAGGGAAAGCATGTCACAGGGATTGTGTGGTGGCTCAGGAGCATGCCTATGTCAAAAGTCGGTATCCAAAGTAGTTAAGACAACAAATTTACTTTCTTTAAAAAAGAAAAAAGAATGTAGCATACTTTTGTGAATATGCAGATTTTAGAGCCAGAAGACTGAGCATGATTTACATATTTATTTCAGATCAATATTTGAAATAGTACCTCTACTTTGATTTGATCTTACTCTACTGCTTCCCTTCCTGATCTGACCATTTCTGAGTCTGTCTTATATCATTCAGGGTAGCATATGAGAACCTTAAAACACTGCTTCATTTTTCATGCAAACATACCTCTTATGCCATTTAGACAGAGACTAATCCACACCCCTTCTCCCAGGATGCATTCTCATAGATCTACCACTGAGGTCTGCCATGGCAGATACAGAGAGACCCCTGGAGGGTTTCTTCCAAGAAGATAAATGTTTCGGCCCAGAAATGACACACATCCCATTGGCTCACAAGTTTTCCCCCAACTCATTGATAGAAATTGGGTACCTGGCCCAACTGGGCCCAGGTGGCTCAGAGTTACATCACAATGCAATTTTATGTACTTCTGTTTACAGACAAACCCACAAGATCCAAACAAGCAAATAGTAATAAGACTGGCATTCTCTGCGAATGCTGAAAAGCTTGGCCAGTATGTTTTTGACAAACTAAAGAACTCCCAGATCTCATGAAGAATAGCCAGAAAACCAACTTTGCCCTGGGAAGTAAGTCCATATTCCTCCAGTAGCTCAGATATGAAGTTGGGAGCCAGGTGTAGTCACCACAACCACAGGGAATCTTGGTTATGCTTCTGTGGAGGGTCTGTGCCTAGACAAGAATGGTTTTGAAGCATGTTCCAGGATGGAGAACCTATGGAAGATGTGCATGATTATCCTGCTCCTTGGAGTTGCTCAATGTTGGCCATTTTAATGGAAAGAATTGTGTGTTTGGGTTATAGTGAAGCCCCTCCCGGCCATGGGCAAGCACAGAGGTGTTATGATGAGGAAAGGCAAGCCTATATTCTCAACCATAAAGAAAGATTTCACCTGTTCCCTCTGTGGTGGTAGGGCCATGGCCAACAGGCTGAGAATACCTCTCATCTAAGGGCTCAGGGGTTTTTTCACCAAAGGGGAATAACAGGACTTCAGAATGACTATATTTCCTTGTTAAGAATATTAGGGCTGGAAAGCAGATCCACAGTGTGCAGTGCTGAGGATGAACGAGCCTAAGATCTTGCTGTCAGTCACCCGCTGACTCACACCCCGAATGTAAGATCAGCTCTTCCAGAACTTTGTTGGGTCACACGAAGTTCCTGTGATCTCTTGGTTCCCAGGATTCACTCTTTCCCTATTGCAAATCTGGGGAGACAACCCTGTGTTTAGGGCAGTTGCCCTCTACATATGTCCTGGCAGAAAGTTCTCAGGACATATGCTGGGGTGGGGTCTAGGCCCCACTCATTTGTTTTGTTACCCATTGACTTAACACTATTCATGAAGTGCCTCCTTTAAGCCCTGGCTCAGACAAGTTAGTCTGGAAGAGGACGAGCAGTTTCACCAAGCTCTGTGGAGGAGCTCAGACAGTGCCATGTACAGTGTTGTGAAAACCCAGAGAGGGAGCCCCTGAATGATTGATGCCTGGAGCAGCCAGGTTGTGTGTGGGGGTGAAGGCACCTGTGACCTCGCCTAGTATGACCCATGCTGGTGGAGCAGGGGTCTTGAAGAGATGTCCAGAAGTGGAGGTCTGAGCCAGGGCACCCAGCTCTGTAGACTGCACCTTAGACCCTTGGCAGAAATACCTTCATTCTGAATAGAGAAAAGTTCAACAGGCAAATGGTACTGACATTTCATTCCTCTTGGCCGATAAGAAATCACTTCCGTTGCCTAAGGCAGAATCATTGACAAAAGTCATCATAGGAATAGCTCATGTGGGGTCAGGAGCTGCTGTACTTTGTGGGTGAGAGGGCCGCCACACATGTTACCAGAACAGATGCTGGGATGGGTGCTAAGACCCTTCTTTTTTTACTCTCCCCTCACTGACTCAGCCTTTATATCATGTCCTCAGTAGAAAATGGTCCCAAGTGTTTAATCACAGGAGATAAGCTAAATGCAAAGTCCAAGGATAAGTCATCTGGCTCTTGCACGGAGCACATCTTGTTAAACCTTTCCCCCATTCTTCTTTGCTAAGACTGTTTATTCAGCCACAGGGAAAGTACACATTGGACCTTTCTGCAGAAGCTAGGAGCTATCTGGATGGCAGTCCATGTAATTTGGTCTGAGAG